GGTGAAGATAAAAATAACTTCTACTTTGTATAAAGTGAGGCAAGTCTGCTGTACTGTGCAATACCTCTGTCTGACACATGCTTTTATAATTCAGTGCCTTTGCTTTATAACATGTCTTCTACAGTTGGCTCAAAGTCTGAGACCACACTGAAAATATGGGATTCACAATGTAATTTAAACCTTGAAATAATTAAAGTTTAGGATTTTGAACAATTAAAGAAACATTACAAATAAGAAACATTTAAGATTTCTATGTCATTAATTAAATTAGTGAATATATGTTTTTAAGATTGTTTATAATAATAATAATAATAACAATAAATATTTTAGTATATTCGATTGATTTCAGAAGGATCGTGTGATACTGAAAACTGCTGAAAATTCAGCTTTACCATCACAGGAATAAATTACATTTTAAAATTAAAATGGAAACATTTTATTTTAAATTATAATAACATTTCACAATATTGCTACAACCCTAAACTTTTTAATGGTAGTGTATGTACATTCAGTGTATGTACAATGTAAATTGTATACAATTTATTAAATATGTATACATTGCAGTTATGTTATTATTGCTATTTTCATGTGCAAAATAAGTGCATTAAGATTTGACTTTTTTTCCAAACTTCTAATAAAAATATCTTAAAGGGGACCTATTATGCCCCTTTTCACAAGATGTAAAACAATTATTTGATGTCCCCAGAGTGTGTATGTGAAATCTTAGCTCAAAATACCCCACAGATAAATTTTTTATAGCATTTTAAAATTGCCAAATTTGGGCTTGTGCAAAAACGCACCGTTTTAGTGTTTCCCTTTAAATGCTAATGAGCTGCTGCTCCCGCCCTACTTTTCCGACGAGAGAGGTCCTCTGTATAAGCAGAATCATGTAATAAATAAACCTGAACTCCTGTAGCGAAACGTCATCATTGATTCCCAACAGACTTGGTCAGCGGTTTTGCGTCTGTCTGGCAAGCAATATCTCTTGTTTGGCTGCTCTGTTCTGATGTGCTGTCCTTTACAAATAAAGATTCCAGTATCAGCGCGATAAAAAAAAAAAAAAAAAAACATAGCTGGACGGACTCATGGTGCTATCACAAACTTTATAAGTCTAACTTGTTATAATGAGCTTGACAAATTCAAAGGCAATTTGGAAAACAAACGCGTAATACATACTTCTAGATGTGTAGTTGGCACTGCTACATCCTTCAGGAGCAACTTTTTAGTAAATAGATAGAGCTATGTGGATTAATACATCCAGCTACACAACACCGACAACGCTTGGGAGACATTCTCGTCAGTGCAGCAATGACAGATGTGTACTACTCTCAACTCGCTGTGAACTCGATCAGCGCGGTTCTATGTTAAAACGGCAGTGTCTGTCAACACTCGTGGGCGGGGCCTGTGGCTGTAGTGACGTCACTAAAGCTGCATTCTGAAAACAGGTCGTTGGGAGACACTGCTTATGATTTATGGGGATTTAAAAAAAAAAGGAGTGGGTGGATTTTTATCACTGTAGGGTGGTTGTGTACACACACTGCCAACACACATTTATGTCCCAAAAGTGAATTTTGCATAATAGGTCCCCTTTAAATTACCAGAAACTCGGCTATGACATTAGAACCTTTGATGAAAACCCCCTTTTTAAACCGTTCTCTATATGTGTTCATGTGTGTAGATGTTGATGAGCGCTCACTCAGAGAAACTGCTTGAGGTTGAGATGGAGCTGCGGGAGCTTCGTCCACTGCGGGCTATGAGGGATGAGGTGGAGGCTCTGAGAGGGTCTGTGGAGAGCATGCGTTCAGTTGTATCTTCTCTCGATTCGGGTCGTGTTGGCTCCAGTTCTGGTTCTCACACCCTGGGTAAGAATGCCTCAATATATGTGCCTCAATTATTTTTTATCACAATATATTGTACAACATTGATGATTTCAGTTAACACTTTTCGATACTGTCATCAGGCTCCTTAGAGCAGCAGCTTTCACGTCACGATGACATGATGAGTGTCCATGACATCCGGTTGGCGGAGATGGACCTGAAGCTGCAGGTGCTAGAGACGGCCAGCTTCAATGGTACCCTCATTTGGAAGATCCGTGACTACAAAAGGCGGAAACAGGAAGCCGTGGCCTCCAAAACCCTCTCGCTCTACAGCCAGCCCTTCTACACGGGCTATTTCGGCTACAAGATGTGTGCCCGCGTTTATCTCAATGGGGATGGAATGGGTAAAGGCACACATCTCTCGCTCTTCTTCGTGGTCATGCGCGGGGAATATGACGCCTTGCTGCCTTGGCCATTTAAACAGAAAGTAACATTAATGCTAATGGACCAGGGGCCGGCACGGAAACACTTAGGTGATGCCTTCAAACCGGACCCCAGTAGCAGTAGCTTTCGCCGGCCCACTGGTGAAATGAACATCGCCTCAGGCTGTCCGCTCTTCGTGGCTCAGACTGTCCTGGAGAACGGAACCTACATCAAAGACGATACCATCTTCATCAAAGTGACTGTAGACACCTCTGACCTCCCGGACCCTTGAATCTTGCGTCTTCATTGGGTTCAGCTAATATCGAGTCACGCAGCCCTCCTAGCCAAGACTTCGCTTGAGAGAGGAAGAACCCAGGACAGGTTTGGATTTATAACAGTCCGAGCCTTCAGCTTGTGCTCGTGCGTTGGTGCGCTCTTCGGGAAACAACAGTGCCTTGCTGGGCCTTTAGTTACAGCCTTTAAGAGGAGGTTTGAGCAAGTGAAATCTCCCATGTCAACCACATATAAGATGAAGTGAAGAGTAATACGTCAACTCTAATCAAGCAAGAGAATGTTAATGTCTCTGGATCTCCAAGACAAGGAGAAATGAAAGCGAATGATGTGTTGGTTGACTAACATCCAGCCCAAAGTGAAAGAAAAAGCTGTTTACACTCGTCAATTGTGTCAGCCTTCAGTGAGTGAATGCGTTTGAGACTCACCAAGTAATCTCTCAAATTGGTTTTTAAGTCTGCAAGGTAACCCTTCATGTTTGGTAATCATGAGAAGTTTAGTATTTGGTGGTTTTTTGGTGGTTTTGTACAATATGCAAATAAGTACTTGAGCTGACATCTGTTGTGTTGTGGTGGTGTTTTGAGAACAGTTAATATGGAGAGGAGTTTTGTGACTAGAAAGTCTTGTTGGTGAGGGCAGGGGTGGACGTGTTTCTGTGTAGTAGTAGATATAAAGGACCTGACTATGGAGCATTCATGAAGGACTACATTGGCACTAAACAGTGAACCTGCAAGGGTTCCATTGTCATAAAGCAAAACCTCAGTTTTTATGCATGTAAAACCTATTCTTACATGACTTAACCTTCCCTGCGTTTACCACTTTGACACATTATTTTTTGTAATGTTCTAATTAATAGATGCTATGCATCAGAATCTATTGTCCTTTTGTGTTTTGTATTTTATTTTTTAAAACAGTCTGAAATAATGCCTTTATGCCTCCAGCCATGCTGCCAGAGACACATACAATAATCCAGATCATTTTTTCATGGTAGGGATGGTTTTTGCACAAGTATTGTTTGAATGTGTAATATATGTATAAATATATCAATATAAAATTGTTGAAAAACATTCTGAATTCTGTTGTTATGGATATGTCAAGCTGATATACAAGAGAACTGAAACTTACCTGACTATTTTTGTAATCAGGCAAATCTCTTGCTAGAAATGGTATCAATTTAAAAGTGTTTTTCTTCTGAACTGATACTATTACCTGAAATGTTTTTTTTTTTTTTTTTCATGAAGTCTTATAATTGGTCTAGTAAGTGGGTTGCAATCATTGAGTGTAAAGCTCAAACAAAAGTTTTAATGGAGATACTGGTACACTAAAAATTGTATTACTTAATAATGCCTTATCTGTATTCATCAACTGGATACAATTTTAAATCCGTTTTTGCTGTTTCTGTAAAATGGTCTTAATAATGCCTTACCTGTATTCATCAACTGGATACCATTAAGAAAATTACATAACATTAGAGGTCTTAAGCAATAATTTACACCTGGCTAATGCCATTAAGAAACATTGATGACATTTGATTTAGAAATGAACTGGTTTAAATTAAACTGGCTTAAAAATGATTTATTACACCCATCCTAGCTGACCAATTAGGGATAACAACCGGGCAGCCTAAACCACGCCCATTTTAATGTAATCCGCGCCAAAAATATATATTTCTATTAAGGAGCATGTGGCATTTTTGTGACATCTCTTTTTTTTCTCTTTTTATTTTGAATAGATAGAATAAAATATTTTAAGAAATATATAAAATGTTAGATAACAGATAAAAAAAAACAGGTTTTTAAAATCGTCCACATTTGAAATATATTGGCCATTTTTTTGGCCCTTTCAGTGGCATTTTGCTGGTGAATTTCTGGCCCTAGTTGCCATTTAGTCTCTCTAATATAATAAAAGGCTATGTTATTTCATTGCTTACCACTAGGTGACGTAAATGCACAAGCCTGGCTAATGGAGGAGTAACTTGGTCTGTTCTGTAACTTGGTCTGTTCAGCTAATATAGCGCGGAATTTCAGTCACATTGGAACAAATTAAAAGTGCGCCAGTCCATAATCGGGATTTATTCAAAACAGATACACTAGTAATGTTTATCTGCTTTGTTTTAAAATGCTTTTTTTTTTTAAAGTTTTGTAAAATTATTTATTTAAATTATGTTCTGTAGCCTATTACTGCGAGATGACGGTGAGAAATCATTTCATTTATCAAATTTCTCTTGTGGATTTAGATTTTCCCCATGTCAGCAACGTCTTCAGGGTTTCAGCCCTGCTCGTTTTCACCGAAAAGAACTAGCAGTCAGCAAGTGCCAGTGCCTACAGATTCACCACGCCTTAATTCAACTCCACCCTAACAACAGCGGGAGAAACCAGTGCGTCAGTGTAGCTAATGAATATTCAAACCTAGAGTCTGTCTGGAGAAAGAGCGTCACATAAAAGGATACAGGTGAGGTCACGGCGACAGACAAAGTCACAGCTGGACACTACGCGCTGAGGCCAGTAGACGGGCTAGTGTTACTCCTAAAACACATAAACGCAAAAACTGGAACCGTTTTAAATTCCTCCAGTATAAAAAAGGGAACTAAGCTTGCACGTATAAAAGAGAGCTCTAAGAGGAACGGCAACATGTTCTCTTGGGTAAATAAGGAGCAGGGTGGAAGGAACAAGGAGGGCGACATGTTTCAAACCGTGACTGAAGGACTTTTGAGTCTTTATGCTAAGAAACTGCTGCCTTTGGAGGAGACCTACCTCTTCCATGACTTCCACTCACCGGCGCTGGAGCAGGCAGACTTCCAGAGCAAGCCCATGGTCCTCCTGGTGGGACAGTATTCCACAGGGAAGACCACTTTTATAAGGTAACGCATTGCTTTGAGAGAGATTTGTTAGAAAGTCAAGCTCTTCAGCAAAACGCTCAGTATAGTTTTCTGCCAGTGAATGAATGAATGAATAGTAGGTAACACTCTATTTTAGTGTCCTGGGTGGTTACGCATACACTTTACTATAGTAGGCTAACAGTAAAATATGCAAAATTACATTTAACTAAACCAAACCCCAAAACTAACCCTTAGTAAGTGCATGTTGTTATAGTATGTGCAATTACACTGTAACAAGGACACCGTAAAATAAGGTGTAATCGAATAGTAATGTCTAGCAAGCCAATAATGGCTTTCTAATATTAATAATAGACACAACTATATTTATGGTGACTTAGCATTTATTTATATTTAATTACTAATAGAACAGCATGTACACGTGTTAAGTTCAGTACAGTCAGCTCTTTGTGGTTGCTGCAACAGGCTGCAAACCCTGAGTTTATTACAGCTTATGCCAGCTCACATAGTCCATTCATCTGTGAAGAGATGCAGAAGGCTGGAGAGTATGCAAACAGCTCATAAAAGCATCATTATTCTTCTTATTGACTTTTTCGCTGTTGGTCAATAGCATCCAGCTTTGATGTCTGTGCTGGGTCTAATCGGATCCTGTGCTAGACAGGGAGTCTCTGAATAAATAAGAAAATCCAAAAGCTCTGTGATTCGTGTTGAAATCCTCTCAAACTAGAGCTGGCTTATTACTAGCTCAGCCGTTCATAATCTGAAACATTAGGTCATAGTTGGAAATGATGGATGTTTAAGGCTGTTTAAGCACCACATTCCAGTCTAAAGAGTAATGAAGTCGCTAAGTATACTATAAGTTCTTGCTTGTATATGTGAGAATGAAAAGCCAATACAAATTGTGTTTGTATTATTTTTTCATCTGTAAAAAAGTTTTCATGCTTTTGCGAAAAGTTCTTCCATTACATTACACACATGTGCACTAAGGAGAAATTAAGCCATATTTAACAATGGATGCAGTTTGATTTATAATTCCCTTATGTTTATGTTCAATTTAATGACAAGCCATGTGTGTTTCTTTGCTTGGAAACCTTTGACACTTTCTCATCCTCTGGCAGGATGTGGTAGGAATCTATGGTTTGGCTAGGAAGTTACAGGAAGAGTGAGACTGATGGATAGGTCTGTTTTCACATTTTAGCCATCATCCAATGGTTATGTGCCACTGTTTAGCTTTGATCCTTGATCAGCTTTGATTTTATTGACTGTCTTTATTTTTATTGCATTCTGTCTCAACCTAAAGGTAGGACTGTAAATTATTCCATTCATTTACTCTCACCCAACCGTGACATTTTGTTGTCAGCATGTGCTGTCAGATTGATTCTGCCGCTCCAGTCAACAAAGAAGTGGTTTGTTAATACTTAACCTCTCTCTCTTGCAGGTATCTTCTGGAGCAGGATTTTCCAGGGATGCGAATTGGCCCTGAACCAACGACAGATGGATTCATAGCTGTGATGTACAATGAGAATGAGGGGGTTGTTCCGGGAAATGCCTTGGTTGTGGACCCCAAGAAACCTTTCCGCAAGCTCAATGCATTCGGAAACGCCTTCTTAAACAGGTAAATATCAAGTGCTCAATCGCTACTTTTTAGATTTCAGTTTTGCAAAGTTTGCAACTGTAGTATTATTTAATATGGCGGCTTATTAAAGGGATAGTTCATCCAAAAAGGAAAATTGTCATCAATTACTTAGTCTAATGGGTTTGGAATGTCATGAAGCTGTCATTTATGTTTGAAACACAAATGAAGATATTTCTATCCCTCCATTGAATGTTGATTCCAATTCCATTTTGACACTTCAAAAAGTTCATAAAGAGATTGTAAAAGTAGTTGAATCAATCAGTTTAATCCAATACTTCTGAAGAGGCACAGTTCTTTTTATGGTATGAACAGATTTAATTTAGGCTTTTTTTCAACGGTACTTTATTCAACTGTACTTATTCAGCAAGCACGCTTCTGTTTACCCATTTTTGGGCAAACTAACCCTGTAGAAAGATGGGGCTGAATAAATTAATAGCACCATATTCCAGTGTTCATGAGATGTTCTGTCCAGCTTAAGCCAAGAGAATGGTTGTTAGACATCATGTCATGTGGCAGGAAAAACTAGGACGTGGGCACATATTCTTGCTCGCTACATTCTGTAACAAATGTCCCTCTTGCCCGGGTCGTTGCCAAAACAAGGATTTTCTATTATCTTGCTTTGGCAGTGGCATATGATAGGAAATCTGTCTGTTATGGTACAAGTGCAGTTCAAGGTTTACAGTATAATCATAAAAAGACAATGCATTCATGTTAAAATACACATTATGTCACATTGCTTTGTAGTTTTGCATATCACTTCCATTCCATTAGGTTTACATGTTTCTCTCCACGACACATTCTGCCCCTCATTCACTTTTTCTTTTCATCCCACGCAGCCTGATTTTCTATTACAGGCAAATATTTTCAACAAACAAAGTGTCTCAAATACTGTGTAAAGTCCACTTCTCCTTTTAGGTAACTAAAGCTGCTGCATGAGCTACCACAAGTTTTAATGTTTAATTTTAGTACCTAGACAGTTAGACAAAGGATTTTTTTCTCTGTTTGCTGGATATTTATGTGGAGGGGAAATGGGTAAGTACTTCTTTGACAGTGACCACTATAGAGGTCAAAGGCACATTTGACAGAGAACATCTCCTCTCCTCCAGAGGAACCTCAAAACAATGCACTTCTTTCCTGTGGATCTCGTTGTGCGTCATGTGATGGCACGTTTAGGCACAGCAGTTTCTTTCTCTCATTCTCTCTAACACGTTTTTTCTACTGGCTTTTTGAATAAAATGCATGTGCAATTTTCTTGAAAAATGAAACTTGTTTGAATGCCTCTTCCTCTATTTCTCAACATGTCCTTCTGCTTTGCAGCTGACAGGTGATGTTTGATCACAGATGTTGCAATTTCCTTTTAGGTTTTGTTAAAAAAAAAAAAAAAGACAGATCCTCAAACTCACTTGAGACAATATTGCAATCTTAACATCACCATAATATTCCCTCAACATGGAAATATTTTAATAAATAATAGTTTTAGGTACATTTAGTAAATATATAATTCATTTGTTGAATGTCTGTTTTTTTTCTTCTAAAAGTTGCCCAAAGGTTGTGGAATTAGTTTACCACTGTCCATTAGATCCTTCACCTCAGTCAACATGTTTAAAAGCAGTGACAGCATTGTGTTCTGGATGGATGCATGCAATGTCTTCTTTTTTTTAGGTTTCATTTCAAAAAAAAATTTCATAAAGTTTGTCTCTGTTAATATGCGGTCATTTTAGCAATATTTCAGCTAAACTCTGGGGGCAAAAAAGGTCCATTGTCAATAGGGTAGCAATGTATGAATAACAGCTCACACAGATATCACTTTCAAGCAGCTTTCTGTTAGTCAGCACAAAGAGTTTGTGTGACCAATTTGAACCTGAGCAACATAAAGCAACATTTTGACTTATTTTATTTTGTACTTTTATACTCTATTTATCACTGCTAGAGTATCCCATTTAAATCAGGCCTGATTCTTGTATCTTTGAAATAATTTGGAAAGAAAATGCATCTGAGCTGTTTCCCATGACTCAGATCAAATTAGTCAGCTAACAAATGTAGTGATACTACCAGTATTTCCAGTGATAACATGAGGTGATGAACTCTCTCCATCTGTCTCGATAGGTTCATCTGCTCTCAAATGCCCAACCAAGTTCTGCAGAGCATTAGCATCATTGACACACCGGGGATCTTGTCTGGCGAGAAGCAGCGCATAAGCAGAGGTCAGTGGCTGCGATGCCTAGTGTACAGCAGGATGTTCATTCTGGTCTTCATAGTGTCTTAGAGCCAGTCCATCCTGTATTGTGTTATAAACAAAGGCCGGGAGTTATGCACACACAATGCAATAGGATAACAAATGACAAAATGTACACCATCAAGTGCACCCCATTTCTTCTCTTGACAGTTTTCTCAAGTGCTCCTCCAAAGATGTTTATTAGACATTTGTTTAGGTAAATCTTGGTAGAGGGAAGATAATGTCACACAGCATGAACTGTGCTGTTTAGCAGGCTGGATTCTTCATTCTGAAGTCTGTCAGTCTGTGGCTATCTCTCATTGAAAATAGATTTGATGGGATGCATTACAACAGACAGACTGGTTCACTCCCTAGAGGACTGAAGCTCGTTTCCCCAGAATAAGGAACAATCATAATGCTTTAGTCGTTAATTTTCATTTTAGTCACCAGATCTGGCCTGTTTCTTTGTAAATTTCCTCTGTTGTTTCCGTCCCTGTCTCCCATTACATGACAACAGCAGACACACTGGAAACCCTGATGAGTGTGTGGTGTTATGATGTCAGCATTTTTCACTTTCTTTTTTCCTCTTTTTGCAAGCATGAGTTGAGCTTGCCAAACACACTTCTGAGTTTACATCAGCATTCTGGCACCTCAGTATGTAGCCAGTGTTTATGTGTTACAGGATCATTAATAAACAAAACAAGCATGCTTTGTTTTCACATAGTTTTTTTTTTATTTTAACTAAAAAGGCAGAGCACTACTGAGAAGTGGCCAAGCAATTTTTAACAGTTGTGGGATGTGTCTGTTATGCTGTATAATTTTTATCTATGAAAATGCACAACAGCAGAGGTACAGTATGGCGCAAGAGGGTCTGCAAACTGTAGATTAGGCCTGGTGGCGGAGCCGCAGAACCGCACAAATGTACGGACGCAACTTCGGCCATGAGGGATAAGACACATGGGCGTTCCACATCTGTTCCTGCTTTAGCGCCGCTCAGCTGAGGTTGCATTCCTCTTACGTTAGCATCTCTGACACATCTCACGACGCACCATTGGCCTTGTGCATCAATCATATTTGATTTTTAATACGACTATGATTTTTCTAAATTTGAAAATAACAGAATTTTTTTACTGCCAGACATTTGTGTTGTGGCTGCTTTAAATTGTGATACATATTGCATTCTTTAGATTTACAAATGAGGGCAACATATTTGTATTTAGGCTGCTCGTTATAGAAGTGTTTTAATTATTATGGGAAATAATGCTGGTAAGTTGACGACTTTTGGTGTGACTTACGCAGTACAACCATATAATTTTTAAACTGTTTATTGTTGGTCATTATGCGCTCAGTTTTAACTGTTTGTCAAAAAGTTATTAAAAATGGTAAAATATATATTTAAAAAAAAAAGGCTAATTATAGGACCGAATAGACATCCCCTTTATCACATTTATATAAATCTCAACCTAAAATCTTGATGTTTATTTTTAAAAAGTTAATTTAGGGTGAGGGAAAGCCTTTTCTTCTTCTGTACTAAGTTGCCTTACATGGAATACCATTGATGGTTCCCACACTCTAAGAGTAAGCGCTGAGCTCCTCCTTTGTAAAATCTTGGCAGAACGTTTTGTAAAAATGTTTATAGTGATGTGTAATCCATGCCATTGTTTTTGGAGCAGCGTAATTTCCTCATTTCCTCATGGGTGGCTGGATAAGTTGGATCTCATTGCTTAAAATTAATTGATAAACACATGCACTTGCTTATGAGCTACATGTGAATGAAGGCTGATATGGTGTCCCTGTCTCTATGAGATTCCCATGGTCATGCCATGTCTGTGACCTGAAAACTGATCGTTACACCCTTCTCTCGTCCTGTTTCTTCCAGCTACAGAAAAAAAGGTGTAACCATTATTTATGTATGAAGGGCAGTTTAACAATTTTTTTCCAGTTGTGGAATATAAATTTCAAATGCATTTGTGTGTGTGTGTGTGATGTTTCCATAATTCAGTTCAGTACAATTCACATTTATTTGTATAGCGCTTTTCACAATACATATTGTTTAAAAAGCAGCTTTACAGAAAATGCATTTGTCTACATTACAATATAAAATGATGTGTTATCAGAGGTGACATGAGTGTTTTAAATATGAATTTTGGTCTTAGTATTTTATTTTTATTTAGTTATTTTACAAGGTTTATTTGTTATATATTACATTATGTCTATTTGATTATTATGCATATTTTTTCTTAATATATATTATGTCTGGATTTCCCAAACTGGGGTTTGTGAGTTGATGATGAAAAGTGAATAATTAATTAAATCATAAAAATATCAATTAAAATAAATAAATAAATATTTAAAAAATGAAAATGTGACACTAAAATATGAAGTTTTTTACTTGTTTACCTGCTTGTCATGTGACCATTAACCAATATCAGAGAACCATAAACATGTGAATGTGCTGTTAAATTATTAAGATATTAGTTTTAAATCTCAAGGGGGTTCTTCAAGTTACAGTATTTCTGAATTGCTAAAACACATTTTTTGAATGTTTCTCTCGCTTTCTCAAAACCTTAAACACAAATCTCCAAACTTAAGCTACACTGTCAAAACCTTTGACTTGTCTTGCTATATCAAACAATTGCTTCAGAACTATGTTATCTTTACCCAAAACCAAACACTGTTTTCAGATAACACACACACATCCAGCTAATGCATAAACACTACACAACAGTCATTACACACTACAGAGATAAATGCAAAACACTGCACTCAGGGCAGAGCAGGGGGAAAATTATATTTATTATGAAGTACTTGCACAATACTGCACACATACAAAGGTAGTCACAAACAAAATATGCAGCAGATCGATAGCAAGCAATGTTTTGGAATCAAATTTCTCTCAAATGAAGGACCATATTGACAATAATGGTCTCCTGCTGTTGTGAGAACATACCTCTCCTTCCACCGGCATGTGGCAGTCTTTCAATTCTAGCAAATAAAACCTCTTGTTAGAATTGTACAGACAGGCCTAATGCATTGAAATGTCACCAAATATGTACAATACATAAAATACTATTATTTTTATGTAAATTGAAATGTCACCAAATATGTACAATACATAAAAAACTATTATTTTTATGTAATACTACTATTACGATATTCGCTTAAATACTGATACAGGGAAATTATCAGTGCTGGTACTACTCGACCTCAGTGCTGCATTTGACACTGTCGATCACGACATACTTCTTGACAGGCTGGAAAACTGGGTGGGGCTTTCTGGGATAGTCCTAAAATGGTTCAGGTCATACTTAGAAGGGAGAGGTTATTATGTGAGTATAGGAGACCATAAGTCTGAGTGGACATCCATGACTTGCGGAGTCCCTCAAGGCTCAATTCTTGCACCACTCCTATTCAACCTGTATGCTCCCAATGAGCCAAATAATGAGAAAGAACCAAATTGCTTACCACAGCTATGCAGACGACACACAGCTCTACTTAGCCCTATCGCCTAACGACTACAGCCCCATTGACTCCCTGTGCCAATGCATTGATGAAGTCAACGGTTGGATGTGCCAAAACTTTCTTCAGTTAAACAAAGACAAAACTGAAGTCATTGCGTTTGGAAACAAAGATGAAGTTCTCAAGGTGAATACATACCTTCACGCTAGGGGTCTAACAACTAAAAATCAAGTCAGGAATCTTGGTGTGTCTCTAGAGTCAGACCTTAGTTTCAGTAGTCATGTCAAAGCAATAACTAAATCAGCATACTATCATCTGAAAAATATTGCAAGAATTAGATGCTTTGTTTCCAATCAAGACTTAGAGAAACTTGTGCATGCTTTCATCACCAGCAGGGTGGATTACTGTAATGGACTCCTCACTGGCCTTCCTAAAAAGACCATAAGACAGTTGCAGCTCATACAGAACGCTGCTGCCAGGATTCTGAGCAGAACCTGAAAATTTGAACATATCACACCAGTCCCCAGGTCTTTACACTGGCTCCCAGTTACATTTAGGATTGATTTTAAAGTATTATTACTGGTATATAAATCATTCAATGGGCTAGGGCCTCAATATATTGCAGATATGCTCACTGAATATAAACCTAACAGATCACTCAGATCATTAGGATCACATCAGCTAGAAATACCAAGGGTTCGCTCTGAGCATGGAGAGTCTGCTTTTAGCTATTATGCCAGCCGCAGCTGGAACCAGCTTCCAGAGGAGATCAGATGTGCTCCTACAGTAGTCACATTCAAATCCAGACTCAAAACACATCTGTTTAGCTATGCATTTACTGAATGAGCACTGTGCCACTGTCCGTCCGACTGTTTTTACTGTACTGGTTTTGTCTTTGTTTGTTTTCTAATTTCTAATTTATTTATTTTTATAATCTCTGGAAGAGATTTTGAAGGAGAGCGGGAGAGTCTTCACTCCGATGAGGCGAGTGAAGGAGTAAGTTATACTGCTGTATAAGAAGTCGCTGAGAGCGTCGTTAAGGGTAACGGCAGCAGACAGCGCACACGAAGCGTGCTCTGTGGGGGCCCCGCTGGGCATTACTGGTGTCGCACCACCCCAGCAGAGTACGTCCCTGGGCTAGAGGTCCAGTTGCACCGTAAACCGGCTCAATCTCTTCCATCTCAGATAGGGGTGGACCAGTACTACTTTATTTGATTTTTTATTCTAAACTGTTTTAATTATTCTTACTTGTTTTGATTATTTTAATTTCTTCTATGTAAAGCACTTTGAATTGCCATTGTGTATGAAATGTGCTATATAAATAAACTTGCCTTGCCTTGCCTTGCCTATTAGTTTGAATGTAATACTGCAAGAAAAGGGCCAATTTTTTGAGATATGTTACAGTAATTTACTGAGATGTCCCACAACTGTACATACTGTACTGTAAGCTTGAGGTAGCACAAATGATAGTACACTTCCCTGTTCTCTTCTCTGAATGTCCTGACAATGGAGGCCACAGAGAACCTGCTTATATTTGGTTGAACACGGAGTCCTGCTTCCCTCATACTCATCCCATGAACCAGAACATGGTGTATGATTGTTGCTCTAATTTCATTGGAAATGATGGCTCTTGTTCTTCCTCCTCCTCCTCTGTCTCTTCCTCTTCCTCCTCCTCTGTCTCTTCCTCCTCCTCCTCCATCTCTTCCTCCTCTGTCTCTTCCTCCTCTGTCTCTTCCTCTTCCTCCTCCTCTGTCTCTTCCTCCTCCTCCATCTCTTCCTCCTCCATCTCTTCCTCCTCTGTCTCTTCCTCCTCTGTCTCTTCCTCCTCCTCCTCCATCTCTTCCTCCTCTGTCTCTTCCTCCTCTGTCTCTTCCTCTTCCTCCTCCTCTGTCTCTTCCTCCTCCTCCATCTCTTCCTCCTCCATCTCTTCCTCCTCTGTCTCTTCCTCCTCTGTCTCTTCCTCCTCCTCCTCTGTCTCTTCCTCCTCCTCCTCCTCTGTCTCTTCCTCCTCCTCCATCTCTTCCTCCTCTGTCTCTTCCTCCTCCTCCTCCTCCTCTTCCTCTTCCACTTCCACTTCCTCCTTCTCTCATGCCCTCCATTGTGAAAATCACACATGCCATTTGGATTTGACATGGCTTTATATCCAGATATATCCATTACTTATTTGAAACAGGTGTGTTAAATTTTGAGTGCTTGTGTGTTACCGATGACAACAGTGTGTTGCTTGTGTTTCACTTTTGAGGGCTGGGTTGTGCATTCTGAGTTGAAGTGCACCACAATGCTACATGTGCTTTGTGAATGACAATGTGTTTACAGTTTTGCACAAAGAGTGATTCCGATTTGATAGTTGTGTCTAACCACATGAGAAACGTTTAAAGTTCTGCAAACTGTGTGATTCAATCAATAAAGTGGTTTGTACACTTTCAACTTTGGTTTTGCAAATGGATTTTAGTGTTTTAGCAATTCAGAAATACTGTAATATTTTAGGTCAAAGGGATCGGCTGAAAAAAAGTTTAGGAATTCCTTTGTTATTTCATATGTTTTAGTATTATGTTATTTTATACTATTGTTTTACTACTGTATTTGTACGTCACTATGGTGTGTAATTAATGTGGTACACTCAATTAATTTCCCCTTACCTGGACAATGAAGTAGACAGTATTTCAATTCTTATTCTGTTCTATTGATATTTTTTCACTACAGGCTATGATTTCTCTGAGGTTCTGCGTTGGTTTGGAGAGCGAGTGGACCGTATCATTCTTCTCTTTGACGCCCATAAACTGGACATATCTGATGAGTTTTCTGAAGCGATCAAAGCTTTCCGTGGGCAGGATGACAAAATCCGCGTGGTATTGAACAAGGCCGACCAAGTGGACACTCAGCAGCTGATGCGTGTTTATGGTGCACTGATGTGGTCGCTGGGGAAGGTGATCAATACTCCAGAGGTGGTGAGGGTCTATCTCGGCTCTTTTTGGGCCAAACCTCTTCAAAATGCAGAAAATCGCCGTCTGTTTGAAGCTGAAACACAAGATCTCTTCAGAGACATCCAGGGTTTGCCTCGCAACGCTGCCCTGCGTAAGCTGAATGACCTCATCAAAAGAGCTCGTCTTGCTAAGGTAGGTTGTCTAAGTAGTATGTAGTAGTCACAGCTTAGAGGTCTACACATAAATGCATTTTGACGTTTTTAAAATTGGTGAGCGCCATTTTTTTTATTGTCTCATCAGAGTATTAGTACTGTCTGCTTAATATATACTAACACTTTATTGTGATGGTCCCCCAACAGACATTCTACTGACTATAAGTAAATACATGTCAACTTATTCTACTAACCCTAACATGTAACCTAATAGTCTACTACTAATACTTAAGTTGACATGTTGTTGCAAATATATAATATACTCTCTATATTTTAATATTTATTATCAAGTAATGTTTCATTCAAAAAAGGAGAACTAAAACCAGTGTGAAATAAATGTTAAAAGCAGGAATAACAAAGTGAAGTAGTTAACAAAGTGAAGTAGTGAACAAAGTGACAAAACAAAGTGAACACCTGGTGTTCATGAAAGAATGGGAACCCTAAAATCTACATTATATATTATTTGGACTTATTTTATATTAATCAGAATGAGCTTTATTGCCAAGTATGTTTACACAAACAAGGAATTTGTCTTGTGACAGGAGCTTCCAGTGCAGAAGAAAGCATAGTCACAGTGTCGACATACATATATTTAGTTTTAATATATTTAAACCTTGCTGCTTGTAAAACCCATGCTGAAAATTTCCATCTTCGCTGCTCATTGTCTGTTATTTTGTCTTGTGTTTGACCTTAGTTCAACCACTATTGTTTTTGGCTGACTGCACTGTTCGAACTTACACATTGTGCCACAAGAGCCCCAATCAACACAACCTGGTTGCGTCGTGCACTTAAATCTGGACGTTATAAACAATTCACTCATGGAACCATGACAGAAAGTGTGTCTTATCTCTTCCGCAATATTTTCCAAACACGTTCAGCAAACAGGAATCCTGTAGCCCTGTGCATGCCTTCCTGTAATGGTAAAGCCATGTGAGGCAGTTAAATGCCTTCTCCATCTCCTGGAAAAGCCCAGAAAAGTCCCTTTCCGTGGTACAAAGGAATGTGTGTAATGTGCTCAAAGAGAGCACAGCCCTTATTTTTCCTAACCTCTCCACCCCACTAAGTCTTGCCACTCGTCATGTTTACGCCTTTCCTGTCCTCCTCGAGCCGCCAATCATTCCTTAAGAGGAATAAACATAGCATAAAAGGAAAAAGCCCAAACTTAATTTAGATCGCTTGTGGTGTACTTCCTCTATATTGAGGAAAAAGTTGATATAAATACAGATGCTTTTGAATGTTCCTTTGGCAAGGGCACTTACAAGGTGTAAACACAGAGATGGTGTTTGATTATGCAACTATTCTAGAGTAACAGGAGGTGGATGTCATGTGAGAAAAATTGTCTATAGTAAGTTAAACTATAAGACTTCCCCCAAACCCCATCACTGATATTAATCCTCTGCTTTTTAATGAAACTTCAAGCTTTGTGATAGCATTTCCACTCTTAGATTACTTTCATAAGGATGTAACATTTATTTATTTATTTTTAACTTTTTTTATTTTAAGTTTCATGTCCTTAATTAGGTTTAGCTTTAAATAGTTTGACTATAGTTTGCAAAAATGCATCTTACTTGAAGTGACTAAATATTAGGTCAGTGTAATTTATTATAATAGAATAAGAAATTCTATTATTTTTTATTTTACTATAATTCAGCTTAGGGGGCCCAGATTTTTTTTTGCAGATGGGCCCAGTGCTGACTTGCTACGCACCATTGTTCACACCATACCTCTTTATGAACTTACTGACTATAATCTGCTGTGTGTTTTATAGGTGCATGCTTATATCATCAGCTACTTAAAGAAAGAAATGCCCTCCTTGTTTGGGAAAGAGAAGAAAAAGGAGGAGCTGATTGCCCACCTGCCTGAGATCTATCAGATACTGCAGAGGGAGCACCACATCTCACCTGGAGATTTCCCTAATGTCATTAAAATGCAGGTAAGACCTGGCCTGTGTCCATGGAACATGAGTAAATATTAGATGTTTACAAAGTAAACAAAACTAACCAGGATGCGAGCTAACCAGCATTTTTTATCTGTTCTTGCATGAATGCAATTTCCACCAACTGCTGGTTATTAAATTATGTTAATTGGTGCAGATGTATGATGGATTCCAGGCTGTAGATCTGAGGAATGTTTGTTTTGTACAGTGTTTTAGCACAATGCTTGAGTCCCTGAGGGGGCTGCTTGAGTCCCAGCCCTGCTATTGCCTGTAGAGCAGGAAGAGTCCGTTCTTTCACTTTCTTCAGGTCTTGCCTGAAGATGTTTAGCCAGCATGAATCTCAGTAGACACTAGCCCCACATCAGAAATTGTATTGAAATATATGTGAAAATAAGATGCCAGTCAAGCTCTGTAATGCAGTTTCCCATAATTTTCCAGAGATTTACAGGCACGCATCTCACATTCGGTCTTACACATTTAATGAACCCCCAGGGATGCATAATTTTATTTCATATGAAAAGACAGCAGTCATTAACTATAATAGCATTCGCTAATTATTGACTAACACATGTACTAACAATAAACTTTCCGACCAGACAGCTTCCAGGCAGCACTTTAAAGATAAAGGCCACGCTCTAAATAGAGCCCCAACTGGTGACATTGATTCACTCCAGAATTAGACATTATATCACTGAACTAACCACTTCAGGACTTGGATGCCTAATTTTGTAGGCCAGGCCTTACTTTATAAATCTGTTTCTCTGTCATGATCTTTAAACACACATTATTAAAAATTAAAATGAATAATGAAACCAATATATTCCTATAACCCACTGTGTTATCTGTTAATGCTATATTATAACAGACACTTAAATTTGACATTAAATGTCTCCCTCTGTTACTCACATATACTAATGTAGGAGCAACTGCAACACTACGACTTCAGCAAGTTCCCCTCTTTGAAATTGAAGTTGATTGAATCTGTGGACAGAATGTTGTCCACCAAGATCTCAAGCCTGATGAACATGATCCGAGAGGAAGAAAGCAAACAGCCGTCTCAGATGGTTATGGGTGGAGCCTTTGAAGACTCTACCGACGGGCCTTTTGGCCATGGCTACGGTGAGGGTATCAGTGCAGGGGCTGATACGGAGGACTGGATCGTAAGTCGTGACAAACATCGCTACGATGAAATCTTCTACACATTGATGCCTGTCAATGGGAAGGTAACTGGCATCAATGCCAAGAAGGAGATGATGAGTTCTCGCCTGCCCAACACCGTACTGGGAAAGATCTGGAAGCTGGCAGACTGTGATAAGGACGGGATGCTGGATGATGAAGAATTTGCTCTCGCTCAGCACCTTATTAGGGTCAAACTTGAGGGATTTGAGCTCCCTGCAGAGCTACCAAATCACCTAGTGCCTCCGTCTCACAGGAAGGACCCCACCGCAGACATCTTGTACAACCACCAGGAGGATTGAGCACCTTCATGTATTCTCATCAGCCAGCTGCGTGCTAGCACAAAATGAAAAAGGAATGAAGTTTTATTGGTTAAGCCATCTTTTGTATTCAACAATGCTGTTGATGGTCAAAATTAGTCATTAGACTTCTGTGACTTTCATATGCCTAAGATTGAGTAATTTGGAATGCAATTTCTTTAACTCCGAGTTAAAGAGCAAATATATTAATATATTTGAAAGAAACGGCATACAAATTTTAATTACAGCCCATAGAATTATATGGTTACCTCTAAATTTTATCCCTGATATTATGTTATTTCACCATGTACTTGCAGATTGTGAAAATAGATGGCAGTGCGGTTGTAGATCATTTTATACAGTGCTTTCAAGATGTTATATTACATTTCATATGAAATAAAAATGTTAGTTGTTAATTGTGCATAACAGCAGCCAAAAATAATGTTCCTATACATGACAAACTGTCACAGAGGCACTGACAGAAGTATCTATTCATCTCACTCATTCTGACACAGTGTGAATATCCACAGATGTTACCTAGCTATTCAATTAATTTTGCAGCACAATATAGTTTTGCAGTTTTTTACAGTTTCTTTTTTTTTGTGCAGTTTTCTTTTTTACCTTTTCCTTGAATGCACACTTTTCGTATGAACTTGAAAATGATTGCATCATAATCCTGAAATAGACTGTAGGGAAATTGAAACAGTATTCAGTGTTTCATGAAGCAATTAAAATTATGCTCTTTATTAATATTTTAGATATAACTTTTTAATAGAAAGTTACTACATACACTCTTTTCTCATGCTGGGTGTTAGATATTTAGATTTATTGAATTACATGACTTTGAATAAATTTACACATTAATAACAGCATTATACTGAACAGCACTGAGTTTTGCCAAAGTTTTTTGTTGTCTGTAATATTTGTCTGACACTGACTAGTTAGTGAATAATTATAATAGTTTATAGCAGCAAACATTTAAAGAAATTAAACGGCTACATTTAAAAAAATAATTCTTATAAACTATTCTACAATTTCAGTTTTTTGAGAGATTGGCATTCAGGCTGCCAAGTCTATTTATGCCTTCTATATATATATTTATATATATATATTTTACATTTAAAATATTAACAATGTATACAATGACAGTAAGAGAAAACTTCAAATTAAATAGTGTTTATATTTCTGAGGTGCAAAGTAACTTCTGTTCTATAACGAAATCAGTTTTAATCATGAAAACTCCACTATGCTGTATATACATTAATACTGACGAAAGTAAATGTGTATGTTAAACACTGTTACAATAATCTTATGTACAATTTAATTAATATATACGTAGATGGTTTCTGTCAGCTCAGAGGTGGATTACATGAACTAGACTGTAATTATTTGACATGAGTTCAACTCTTGTGGCTTGTGAACATGAAAGATCATGTTTGAAATTAAGATTACTGTAAAAAGTGATTACAGAAATTCTTTTCATGTTTTTGGGACAATTGAGTACATTTATATACAGTAGGTGCTTGATGGTGCTGCCTATACTTTAATGAGCCTTTTGCATATATATATATATAACCTCCAACCATCGGTTAATGTGTAATTGATTGTTAAAAAAAAGATTTTTATATTATACACCCTTTTAAAAAAGGGAATGTAATAAATGTTTCTATTTCAAATTAAAATTGTTTCACTTTATTTTGAAATTATAAATCTTGAATGTGTACTAAATCTTTTTTGAACAGTAATCAATTAAAATACCATTGGCGTTGCTGTTCCTGGATTGGCATGTAGAGAGGTGTGTGCTGCTGAATTGCATGAAATAGTGAATATGACTGCAACCTTTACCCCCAAAGTAGCACATTGCTAGGTGAGTGAGAATTACCCTCCCTTTCGGTTCATTACAACAGCATCAAAGTTCAGTTCAGTTCCTCAATACTGATCAGTCTTAAAGACGATTTATCGGATTACTTTCAAATCATCCATTTTTGCCATGATGAATATCTAATTATCTTTGACTGTTTCAGAGTTGAAAACAAACCTTGAGAAGGGTAAGTGAATTCAGTTTATTGTATGCTGTGCATCATAACCTAACTGACAAAATATGTCGTAATTTTTTGCAAGTTTTTTATTATTTGTGGGATATACAAATGACAACATGGCTATCATGAATCTACAGTTTTTTTCTATTTTGAATTGTTTGCAAAAAATATGTAACATTACAGGATAATTCCAGATATATATTTTTAAAGTAGATTAAACATATGTCACAATTTATTTCACTTGATTGTAAATGTGGATATAAAATAATATATTTTTCTATATGTATAATAGCACTGATAACAGTATTAAGATACTACTAAGATGGTGCTATACAGTATAACATTTTGAAAAAAAATTAAGAAATGAAATGTTGGCCAGTTTACTAAGTATATGTAATCCTTGATGGCCATATATATTCAAAGTATTTATTTGATGACCAATACAATGATATGACCTGATTTGGAAATGCTAGGTATTTTTATGATGCTTTAAAATGTGTCTGTAAAGTCCGTACATAATTACACTGTCAGCAAGAGAGACACGATTGCCCTGATACATTCATTTCTGCATTAATACACAAAGTATATGTGTATATATATATATATATATATATATATATATATATATATATATATATATATATTGGGTCATATTCAGCACTTTCACAGTGACATTTCCTTGGTGCTATCTTCTTTTACTTTAACTTCCCAAAAGATCTAAAAAATCCCTAATGCAAAGGCCTCACCAGTCATGTGTATGGCTTAATGTTTAAGCCCATCTTGGGCAGCTATTTATTGTAAATGAACAAACTCTGGTGCAGGACAGGTGAAGCAGAAATTTGAGATTTTTTGTGTCTTTGAAACATTTACATGCATTTTTCAATTGTTGTTATCAGGGACTGACACAGTCAAGAGATGTCTAAACATGGAGATGGAGAGGAGTCTGATGGCCGATTCCGAGAGCTTCAGGAGCAGCGGATGACGGTGCAGAAGAAGACCTACACAAAATGGATGAACAGTGTCTTTTCAAAGAATGGGGTATGAACAGATCCTTCCAACGCCTTCCTGAACCTCAATGCTAGCTCAGGCAACAAGATCTACAGCCAGTGACAAAACAAAGCACCAACACTCAGACTGAAGCTTACATTTTCAATGATTCAAACTTTTCTAATAGTAATTATCTAGCTACAGTATGGCTAGTTAGCTATCTATAAATGTATAAAAAATCCACCCATAGTTTAATCAGATGGCTGTTGATGATTCAGCAATCTTTACATAAACATTCGTGATTCACGACTAGATATTGCGATAATTCTGGTGATATCTAGTGTAATATAATGTTTGTAATCCTGACTCCAGTCCTGTGACTTACTGTAGTTTATTATGTGCTCACTCCAGCATGATTACCTCTAGTTGTGAACCCTTGAACCCAGTTAAGGTCATAATTATTTTAATCATTGTTCATTGCATTACCATCTATATACTTTGTTCTTGTCTCATGGTAAGTGGACAGTATTTAAACAAGTCAGACCACTGTTTTTTTCATAAATACACAGATCTCAGATTGAGTTTAATAATAATGAAAGCAAGTGGCAGGTATGCATAAATGAAAACTCAGTTAATTGTTATACACTGTTACACAAACCTTTTGTGACAGATCAGCACAGGTGAGAGAAAAGCACAGATAATTCACCTTGTAATGCAGTCTTACATCAACATCACCAATATTAGATTTAGGAAGGAAATAGTACCGCCTTAACTAGTGTCATCACATGTTTTTTTTTTTACCAGATATTTCCACTGTATGTCTCCCTTTGAGTGTTATGTTTAACAGTGGTTACATATTACCTCCGTTCATACTTGGTGCCATTGTTGTGTGAACCAACTGAGAGACTTGACTTGCATAATAAACAGCAGGAAGATGTTAAAAAAGACAAGTGGTGCTACAACGACACACAAATATATTAATAGCTTATACAGGCAGCTGTCTGAAAGAATGACATGTTTTAAACGTTTCCCTTTCCTTTTCCCCTTCCTCATTTACTCCTGTGTATTGTTCTGTATCAAACGAGATTGTTCATAACATGTTTATTATAAAAGGTCATGCAGATAATTAAAAATAGCCAAATATTACTTACAGAGAAAATATACTCCACCCAAACACACAGCATTTATTTTACCAGTCGACAGTCAGTTATATGTAAGTTAGCAGTTAGCTGATATCATCGCTCTTGCTTTTAAAAGCAATTATAAAAGTTATAAAAAGCAATTACAACAAAAGAAATATGTCAAAATTGCAAGCAGATTCTTTTTTTTATATTTATCATTGCTCTTGAGTGATGAACTACATCTCTTAGGAGGACCTACCAGAGGAGCAGGGTGTGCTCTAAGCTCCCTCAGTTCATTCCCTGGGTAAACAGCCTATTGGAGGCAGTAAGCAGATCTGTTCAGAGACATCAGATTCCCACAACACATGGATTAGGGAGTGGTTGCAAGGCACTTGCTTAAAAGCTGAGAGCAGGATGGCTTTACTGAGAGGAGTTTGAATGAGTCATGTCATAGTGGAATACAGTGGCAATTAGCCAAGCTAATTTCATGCCAAAACTTAAACTAAAACATAATGCAATTATTGGATTTAAGGATTTCACTGTCACTGTCTGCAACCTTACATTTATTGTCTTTCCACTTTATGATTATTTGATTGTATAAACTGGGTGTGGTGGAAAATGTGTGTAATTCTCTTTTAATGTGCATGCACTTTAAAGGAAAAGGTTGACTTGACCGATGTATTTACTGAGCTAAGAACTGGTGTGCATCTCGTGCGACTTTTGGAGCTCATCTCTGGGGAGAAACTGCCCAATCCCAGTCGACGCACCCTAAGAGTTCACTGTCTGGAAAACAACAGCATTGCCATTGCCTTCCTCAAAACCAAGGTACACTGAAAGTAAAGAAGTCCAATACAAATATAAATCTTTTAAAACACATTGTTTTCACAAAGT